AGCCTCTGCAAGCAGATCACCGACAGCAGCCTGGGCCGCATCGCCCAGTACCTCAAGGGCCTGGAGGTGCTGGAGCTGGGGGGCTGCAGCAACATCACCAACACCGGCCTCCTGCTCATCGCCTGGGGGCTGCAGCGCCTCAAGAGCCTTAACCTCCGCAGCTGCCGCCACCTCTCGGACGTGGGCATCGGGCACCTGGCCGGCATGACGCGGAGTGCCGCCGAGGGCTGCCTGGGCCTGGAGCAGCTCACGCTGCAGGACTGCCAGAAACTCACGGATCTTTCTCTGAAGCACATCTCGCGAGGGCTGACGGGCCTCCGGCTCCTCAACCTCAGCTTCTGTGGCGGCATCTCGGACGCGGGCCTTCTCCACCTGTCGCACATGGGCAGCCTGCGCCTCCCCACCTGCGACAACATCAGCGACACGGGCATCATGCACCTGGCCATGGGCAGCCTGCGCCTCTCCGGCCTGGATGTGTCCTTTTGTGACAAGGTGGGAGACCAGAGTCTGGCTTACATAGCCCAGGGACTGGACGGCCTCAAGTCCCTCTCCCTCTGCTCTTGCCACATCAGTGACGACGGCATCAACCGCATGGTGCGGCAGATGCACGGGCTGCGCACGCTCAACATCGGACAGTGTGTGCGCATCACGGACAAGGGGCTGGAGCTGATCGCTGAGCACCTGAGCCAGCTCACGGGCATAGACCTGTACGGCTGCACCAGGATCACCAAGCGCGGCCTGGAGCGCATCACGCAGCTGCCCTGCCTCAAGGTACTTAACCTGGGACTCTGGCAGATGACGGACAGTGAGAAGGTCAGGTGAGGGCGGCAGTTCCAGTGTCCCCTGCCCCGCCCTGTTTGTTCCCGCACACTCACGCGCGCACTTACACGTTCATGGCAGTGGCCGCGATGGGGCCGTGACGCGAAGCCCGGGCTCTTTTCTCCGAGTCCGGCGCCCCTCCCCACTGCGTCTGGGGTTCTTCTGCTCCCTCTACCCACTCTTCCTCTCCTCCTTTCCCAGTGGGTGGAGAGATGGACGCTGCTGCTGCTTCTCTGCCCACTCTTCTGCAGGGTATGGAGACTGATTCAGCCACCGCCAACTGTATCCCGGGGCACTGCATTTGGAAATGGGGTGGGGGTGGGGAGGGACTCGGCGTTTCACCCCCCCCCCCAGGAGTTGAGGAAAGATGTCTGCCTTCACTTACACTTTATTTGGATACTGTGATCTGGTTTTTATTTCGAAATGTGTAGAAAGCAAGCCCGACTCCAACAGCCTTTTTTTCACCCACTTTGTAAACCAGTCTCTTCTCATCACTGCCCCTTCGGTACTCTGCCACTCACTTCGTTTCTGTCTGCTTTCCTTTTAGTTTTCAAAGAAATCTGAAGTCATTGTCCCCCCCCCTTTTTTTTTCTGCTGAGTATATTCTATATATATATAATATATATATTATATATATATGTCTGGCTACCTCGTTTTAGTTTACTTTTTTCTTTTAAACCCTGGAATTCTACAAGAGAGATATTTTGAGACTGAAACATTTTTGTGCCTAAACTGGAAAGATGCCCACTGGGTTTGTGTGTCTTTTTTGTTTTGGCTTCTTCCCAACCTCCATCTACCCAGTGTGCCCCACTTCCGCATCCTGGCTGTGACTTTCCTTTTTTCCCTTGTCTATTTGGGCTTTGAAGACCCAACCATGTTTCTAAATCTTGATTTAATTTATAGCACAAATGTATGGGAGAAATGAGAGCAGAACTGCCTTTTTGTTCGCCGGAGATGCAGATTGAGTCTTGAAGAGGAGTATTATATATGCAAATTATGCCCCACCCCAACCCTCTTCCAAGTTTTCCCACAAAAAGGTTACATAGTGAGGCTTCCTGTCTGGAGTAGAGCTCAGCGTTGGCCTGCCGAGAACCTGGGGCTGCAATGTGAAAGGGGGGAGACTGAACTCCACGTCTCATCTGTGTTCTGTTCATAAAAGGGGAGCTTGTGGGTCTGAAAGCTTTTGTTCTGAATGGAGGAATAGATGGCTTTATTTTGGTGGGGGGTTGGGGCTGTGGCTTAAAAAAAAAAAAAACGCTTTTGAGTAGGATGTATATTTTTGTTGGATATTTTGTTTGTTTATTTTTTTAGAGTCCTCCACAGCAACATGAGAGACCATGGAGAAACCCAGAGACCTTTATCAATTAATTGTACTGTTTGTGAATTTGTATAAATGATAACAAAGATCCTCTTAAAACGTTTATATTCTTACAGTAAAAGGTTAAACTGATATTTATATAATAAAAGAGGAAATATGAAGTATGTTTTTGAAAAAAAAAAGCACAAAATTCCCCCTTGTATCTGTGAATTATTTTTAAGGCATTGTGTGTTGGGTATATGCTAACGTGGGAGGTGTTACATGTACACCCTAAAGGGAAGTACGGTCTAGAGTTCAGTTTGTTCATGTGGGATAAGTTCAGGGTTGAGAATTTCTTCTGTGTAAGATTAACCACTGACATCCAAATGTTCTGTTTCTAGAAATGTGACTAGACTGGAGATTTCTATAATTTTTGGTTTTAAATTGTCAACATAGAAAATGAACAAAATGAAACTTTTTTTTTTTTTTTAAAGAAACCAGACTCGGAAGAGTCAGTTTCCTAGAGTGGCCAGTTTCTTTTTATGGGGTTGGGAGAGTGATTGTGGAAGGGAGATCCAGGGGTAATCCTGAAGAAATGGGTCCTAACGAGCTCTGGAAGTGGGCAAGTGGGATGGGTGTCTTACCCTGAGAGCACAGTGTAAGGGGTGGAGGAGCCCAGCCATTGTTCAGGGCAAGTTGAAAGCGCTCTCAATCCATCCGGCTGGCCCAGCCATGCGTGCTGCTGTGTGTGTGCAGGTCCAGCGGAAAGGGGGCAGCACTGCTCCTCTTTAACATTCCCCTCCAGGCCTGGCTGCATGCAGCCACTTTCCTGGGGGGTAGGGAACTGGGCCAGAAGTTCTGGCAAATTTGCATCTGAAGCCATTCTGGTGCCCAGGCTGGCCACACAACCCCTGGTGAGGGTCTAGGCTGAATTCAGGGTGGATAAATAAATACCAACCATTTTAGCACAGTTCCCCAAAGTCAGTAGTATGACATCGGTTGGCTGGGGACAGAGACCCGTGAATGCTCAAACAGTAGAGTGGTTTATAGGTGGACTTTGTTTCAGAGGTCACTTTCTCAACTTTCCTAGATCAGCCATCTTTCCAGACAGAGGCCTAGAACCTAGGTTGCTGTGGCCTGCAGTGCTCTTACAAAATTTCCAAGCACTAAGCTCGAACATAGCACAAAAGCTGCATTGTTCCCTCTCTGGAGTCACCAAAATGGGGTCTAAGTGAGTGACATCAGATCTGTCTTCCCTTTCTTTAGGGAGGGTCAAGATTTCCCTTAATACTATTGCCTAAAGGCAAAACAACAACAACAACAAAAATGTATGACCCCCCCCCCCCCCCCCCCCAGTGAGAAATGGTCTGAATTAGACCTGCTCCCTAGAGTCAACCCAGCCCCCAGGGCTCCACAGTCATAGCCTCCTGGCCTGTTTTTCAGTCAGTAAGAACTGGAAGCCTCCTAAGTCACACCATGCTAACATTCTCATCTAATGTACAAAATAATTCCACTACTAAGACTTTGGAACATTTTCTGTTTCCTGTTTAATGTGAGTTTGAGAGGATGGAGAGATGGCGCAGTGGTTAAGAGCACCCAAGTTCAGTTTCCAGCATCCATATCCCAGCCCCTAACCTCCTGTAACTCCATCTCCAGGGAGATTAATACCTCTGGCCTCTGGGCACCAGTACTTGTGTGCACAGACACAGATATGTAAGTTTAAAATAATAACGATTTAAAGGTTGGTAAATTAGCATTTGACAGTTAAGGTCATGTATCTGCTGCCCATGGCCTGAACGAGGCAAACATCCGGAGCTTCTCTGGAAAGCAAGGACCAAATGCTCATGTCTCACCCTTTTTGAATGGAAAAAAGATACATGTTGGGAATCCATGTGGTACTTTTAAATTTTAATCCTTCAAGCAACCTACTGAAACATCTCCCTGTTTACAGGGGGCGAGTAAGCTGCCTTAACATTGCCTAACCAGTGGAGGAGCCACGATTTGAACTAGCCCCCTTCTAAGGAAGATCTAGTATCTGATTCAACCTTGGTTTCCTGTGAGATGACCCTCAAGTGAGTGGGAGCTGGCTGTACTCCGTGTGGATAAGCCTGAGCCATAGACGTTGCTTCAAAGAGGAAGGGTACAGGGTTGATCCTCTCCTACATGGCAGAAGAGAGGCGGCTGTAGATCAGTGGTAAAGCACCTGTCTACACCAGGCCCTGGGTTGATCCCCAGCACTGCTAAATAACAAAAACAGGTAAAGAGAGTGAGTTCGTATACATTTTGTGAGTGGCACAAAAACTAAAGGGTACTTTGGATCAGTTTTTTAGGAAACAGAAAAGCCATGGCTCAAGGATTTGGTGAAACTCAAGAACTGAAAAGGCTGGATGGACATGGTAGCTCATGCCTATAACCCCAACAGTGGCTAAGGCAGAAGGATCGCTTTAAGTTCAAGGCCAGTTGTGAATTCCAGGTCAGTCAGGGTTACAGAGCTAAACCTTGGCTCACAGGAAAAAGAAAAAAGTCCCTGGGGTAGGTCATCGGGAGGTCATCGCCTTATCAACAGTAGCCTTCTCCATGAGTGTTTGTAATTGCAACTTTAAATGGGGGTTCGGACAGCTTCTACAGTGCTGTAGGGCTATAGTGGACCTCTGGCTACAAGCTAGGTGGTGGTGTAAATTCTCCCTCTTGCTGAATTCCTCAGGCATTGCTGGCAGGAGAAGGGGAAGTCTGCTTGATTTAACTCTGCCTGTGGCACTGCAAGAATACTGCCCACCTCACACTTAAGCTGGTGCCAGGACCCTTAAAGAGAAAACAGATTTTTTAAAAGGAAAATTCGAATCTATAATAAACATCTAAAAAAGTACATGTTCCTTTCATTGTAGTTTCCTTCTTAAGGCTGTGGGGGCTCGGGATGCCTCTTGCTTGGTGAAGTACTTGCCTAGCTCACATGAAGCCCTTCATTCCCCAACACCACATAAGCAGATGTGGTAGAGTACTCGGCTAATCCCAGTACTAGGAAGAACAGAACTTCAAGGTCATTCTTGGCTTGTTGGAAGCCAGCCTGAGCTCCATGAGAAACTATCCCACCTCACCCTAACCCCCCAGAAGAAGGGCATGTGGTCTGTCTCCCAAACCCTGGGGCTTCCCTGGAAGGGTGTTGATCTTGAGTTACATCCTTCATGGAGAACATTTGAAATTGGAGTCTCTTTTCCTCCCTCCCTCCCTCTCTCCCTCCATTTAGTTTTCTGTGTGAGGCTGTTGGGCCCCTGGAACTGGAGTTATACAGTTGTGAGCTGCCATGTGGGTGTTGTGAATTGAACCTTGGTCCTCTGGAAGAGCAGCCAGTGAGTGCTCTTAATTGCTGAGCCATTTCTCCAACCCCTCTCTTTTTGTGTGTTTTAAGGCAAGGTCTCCCAATGTAGTCCTGGCTAGCCTGGAACTCAAAATGTCTGGGTTAGCATTGAACAGCTACCCTCCTGCCTCGGCCTCCCTAGTGTTGAGATTACAGACATAAACCACCAAGCCTAGCTTTGAACTCAGGTTTTCAAAAGCAAAGGAGAAAGTTGTAGCCTCAGGAAACAAGAGCCTGTTCATTAAGAGAGAAGGTCTGCAGAACAAAACCAAGACCTTATACAGCTGGCAACTGCCTTCCCAGCTCTGAAAGGAAAAGTCCTAGCTGCTGGTCCTCAGAGACAGGGAGGAGCTAGAGAAGTCATGCTGGGACCCTCCCTCTTCCCCACAGCAAACATCACCCCTTTAAAAAGCTAATCCTATCCCTTTAGTTGAAGGAAAGGCCTGCATTTTGTGCCATGACCAACCCCAGAGGAAGGTGTGAGGTTTTTGAATGAAACCAGCACCGGGTTAGAAACCAGCTACGTTCAAACCTGAGCTCAGGGCCACACAGGTCATTTTTGTCAATGTACTCATTCCAACACTAAGTGTATTTTTTAAAGCAAATGTCACAAAGTAGGTAAGAACTCTGGGTTTAAATCGGTATCGACTATTCATAAATATTTGGTTTTTTGAGACAGGGTTTCTCTGTGTAGCTTTGGAGCCTATCCTGGCACTCGCTCTGGAGACCAGGCTGGCCTCTAACTCACAGAGATCTGCCTGCCTCTGCCTCCCGAGTGCTGGGATTAAAAGTGTGTGCCATCAACGCCCCGAGACTATTCATAATTTATGGCTGGAGGGAGGTAAATACACAGCAGGCGGGTGTGTGTGTGTGTGTGTGTGTGTGTGTGTGTGTGTGTGTGTTTGTCTCAGCTTCTTGGGTACAAACATGTTTCTGTTCACTGAGATGTGCTGGAAACCTTCACAAATGACCAGTTTCAGCCTCTTCCTCTTTCCCAGGGATTGCTTGGATCTTGCCTGGTGGGGCTGCTGTTAGCAACCCAGCAGGCGTGGTACTCTGCAAAGATGGACAGGGAGGTGACCTGCCACGGTGATTCTGCACCTGAGGGGGCCACTCAACCCTAGTGCCAAGGAAACCGTGTGATTTCCAGTATCCTGGCTGCTGTAAGTTAGCTCCCAAAGTGTACTCACTTTCTCCAAACAAGGAAAGAATGTTTTCCTTTAGGTCTTGTTTTGCCCTCTGAGACAGGGTCTCACTCTGTAGCTCAGAGTGACCTGGATGGAATTCACTATGTGGCCCAGGCCGGCTTCAAACCTTCCTGGGATTATAACATGAACCACCATGCTCTGCATGGGCATAAGTTCTTATTATCTCACTACTCTTCTGCTTTTAATTGTTTAAGGAACAAACACCACATGTCTTAAAAAAAAAAAAAAAAAAAAAAGCACTCTGAACGGGTGAACGGGGCCAAGGGCTCAGCTCAGTGATTGTGTACACGCCTAGCGTGCTTGAGGTCTTGAGTTCCTTTTCCAGCATTAAGTGAGAAAACAACTTACTAAGATTCTTGTATCTGTGACACTGGAAAATAAAGATGAGATCTGGTCTGTGGTGGCAGGAGAGGCACAGCAGCTCAATGAAACAATATCACAAGGACCGGGGTGGCATGGTGAAGAGCTTGGCCAACAGCAGGCAGATGGGTTTTATATGGGGAAGAATTTTGATATGGTCAATAAGATGTTATGTAGGTGACAAGAGAGTTCTGCCTCCGTGTGGAACCTGGTACAGATTGTAACAAGCACACAGGAGGCCAATATGCGGCGGGTACTTAAGAAACCGCAGGGCATCACTTTGACCTCCTC